AGCCCATCAATTCAGCCTGTCCAGGTCCCCAGTCCTCCCTGGGGCTTTATCAGACCCCCACTAATTCCCATATTTCCTCATTCTGCAATCACCAGAAGACCTGTGTTGAATTGTCTGTTAGCCCTTCATGGCTTATTGCTCAGTTAGCCAGAGAACAAGAAATGACTAATCACAAGATCCCTGTTGCCCAGTGGAGCAAAATGTCATATGCAGAAGTTACCTAGCCTCTCATGGTTATGTAGATAGCTTTCAAAGGCTGTCTAAAATAAAGTGCCAAATACTTTGTCATTTTTTTTCATGTGTTTATGAAAATGATGATGATCATTAAAAACACTTGTCACAGTATCCCATTATTTTCCCTTTAGCATCTGAATGTCTCAATACCATGAGTGATTCCTCACCTTCACCTAGCCTTCTGCTGCAGGCTCATTCCAAACAAAATGAAGGTTCTAGCAACACAACAGGTAAGCTGCCTTCCAGAATGTTGTTTGGAGCAGGTTAATAGCTATCTTCTTATAACTTTTGACAAAATATTTACAATAGCAATTTAAATCCACGTGTCTCTGTTCAGCATTCTGAATACATCTGAATGCAAGACTGGCAGAAATGGAGAGAGGTTTAAAACTAATGGGAGAGATTCCCCCCCTCACCCTAGGAGACTGCTATAACAATGGGGACTGTAGAACTGCAGACAAGAAGTAATTTCTCTACTAAAAAAAAATTGCACAAGCGAATTTTTCCTGCTCATTAAGGCCTGCAACAGAAGACTCTAGAACAGAGTTTACTGTGGTTAAATGGTGTTTGCCATTTAAACATCCCCATTCAGCTTTGCTTTCCTTGCTACATCTACTGTCATTCACTCTGTTTATGCGTCTGCTTGTGGTGACAGCCTTGGATGATCACCACTGGAGAGCCACCAGTCTGCTTTAATTAGCCCCAACCTTTGGCTCTCACATAATGCCACACCAGGCTGAGCTTTGGCAGTGCATACTTGCAAAATCTATCCTTGCATCCCATAGTTGCAGCTTCCCTTCTCCCCTTCCTTTCCCTTCCACACATACTGGTACCCTTTCTTAGTGGGGCTCTGAAAGAGCTTTTGCCTTCAAACTTACTAAATTTCCTCTGTTATTTATGCATAATCCATAGATCTCAGGGCAGATGTACTCATCTGTACTTCCAGAGCCACCCGGTAGGTGACAAAAGTAACAGCAGCTTGGGGGGGTGGGGGTGGAGGGAGAGATGCCAAAACTACGCTAACTTCTAATGTCAAGCATGAATTTTGCTTACCTTTAGGCAAAACAAGAAATGCTAATGTTTTTTTCATAATGGACATGCTTAGGTGTTTTTTTTTTTTATAAGCTCTGGTCCATTTGCTGTGTAGGTGGAGAAGCCCCTCTCTATTACCTGCATTTCTGTTGTCTGGAAATAAGGGGGGTAATCTACAGAAGACGCTATTCTCAAATAACATTTCTGCCTCCTCATGATGACTAACTGACCAGACTTGGCATTCCAGCTAGACAGTGCCTGCAGTCCAAACTGAGAAAAAACAATTCTCTTCAGTACAAAATATTGATTTAGAGGTTGACCCCTGGTGAGAAAACAGCCATGGTAATTGTCTTGTGTTTTCCCTTCAGAAGTTATCAGACTTTACAATACGCTAATTCTGTAATGTCACAATATGCTGTCAAGCTAAAGAAGCTGTATTTAGATCTAAGTTGCTCTGGCCATCCCTATGCTAAGTCTACCTACATTATACAGTGGAGCACATTTCAAAGATGACAAGGTAGCTAAGACCATCTTAAGCCCAGAATCAGAAGCATACAGGTCATGCATACGAATGAATTCTTGCATTCATGACAATAAATGTGGCTCAGAGACAGGGCTTCCTAATTGGTTGTGCTGGCAGAGCTGTACTGCTTTGGGGGCTGGACTGGAATTTGTTGTTATATGGACATACAGATTTGACTTGACCAGCCTGGGTATTTCTGCAGAACTGATCATTGTGCAGTGCAGGCAGGCCTTTGGAATAGTAATGTCCTCGATTTTTATTTTAGTGCTTGGGGTTTTGTACCTCCTCTTCTGTTTTTAATCACACTTTCACAGGTGTTTATATCTTCATTTCAAGTTTCCACCGAGATGCTTCCAACTAATTAGTTCTAGTAATTATAGTACAGCTTTATTTACTAGTTAAATTTTAATTACTTGCTACTATTAGGGGATTTCTTAATGCCTTTCTTGACCTCTTAAATAAAAATGAGACCAATTCTTCTGTCCTTGTGCTAATCAAATGCTTTCATAGAAAATAAAAGTCTTATTGAACAAGAACTTCAGGATTAGGCTGAATATAATGCTTTGGTTTTCGTGCTTTTGGAAATCTTTCCTTCCCAGACCTAAACATGGCTGCAAGATCACAAGAGACACACTTTCAACGTAAAGTTCAGAGTCTCCTGGTGAATGCTGCAGGACAGCCAAGAAAAGAGAAAGTGAAATTACCGTCATCCCTCCAGGGGAGACGACCAAACTCCATACCAAATAAAAAGGTAAAATAACATCTTTTTTGTTGATATTAATATCCTCTCAGTCATCTCTTTTGCATGAAATACTCATTCTGGAGCAATATCATAAGGTGTTTTGAATCTGTTACTGAAACAATAGCAGTGGTAATTTATGTGTAAGTTTACTGGCAATTATAAAAGCACCTTTCTTCTCAACTGCTAGGACATGCTCATATGCCAAAAGCAAAATTCTGCACCAGGCACCCACATGAAAGCTCTGATATCCAGAAGAGCTTCCCCCATTCCCCCTGATACATTTAAATGGCTTAATATGTCTGAAAACTCAAACCAGTATAAATTTGCAGACAATATTCAAAGTGCCTCTTCAGTTTTCCTCAAATTAGGGTGTTTTTTTGTAAGTCTTCAGGATAAGTGGACAGAGGTCAAATGTAGGTTAAATAACTCTGAACCTAATTTGATGGCCACCAACTTTATCTATTGTCTAATATTTTAATTCTTTTTGCAAAGATAGAAGATCCTGTCGCAGGAAAGGTCAACACATCTTCTCTTGCAACAACAAGACAGCATCTTAGTGGCTTCCATCTCATTCCACCCAGAGTGATGCTTGGAGTACTAAAGGAGGGCTGCACCTATGCAGCCACTGTGATCCTGAAGAATGTTGGTGTGAACTTCTCAAGGTTAGTTTGAATTCTTAGTACCTTGGTTTTCAACTGTCCAAATATGCATTGCTTGTTAATTGTCAACCTTCTGATCTGATTAACATGAGATAACCAATGGTATTTTTATATTTGGAATAATTTAATAATGACTGACAAGATATAGGAGAGAAGACAATATTAGAAATACTTCAGCATTATTTGCATATTAGTGTTATTAGGAAGATGGAAACCAGTAAGGAACAGCAGGTCCTGTATGCATAGTCCTAGCCCATCGCAGATTATTTACTGGTCTTATTGAACTTCTCAGGTTCAGGGACCAAACTCCTTTACTCCAACCAGTATTACATTAGGCTTTGAGAAATACCGCTGGATGCTGCCAGTCAGACAATCTAAATGGGCACAGCTGTATTCAGGCAGCAGTGTCTTTAGCTGCACTGAAAAACAGCTTCAGTAACGACACTGGAAACAAGCAGAGGACAAGGATGAAATAAAGCATTTATTTATGTACACTGGAAACAAGCAGAGGACAAGGATGAAATAAAGCATTTATTTATGTACACGTTTCCCTTAGTGTCACCCCTGTCAGTGTGTGGGACAAGATAGCACCACACTGTGTTCCAATGTGGTGAGCATAAGTAAGTCCATTTCTAGGTCTGCAGTCCAGCAGATTGTCTCTTGCACTGCACGACAATCACAAGAAATTATCAGATTTACCCACCCGCAGTTTAGAGAATATATAAATTCAGTAAGAAAAAGCTTGTGACTGCTCTTTCTTCTGTGCTTGAATTCTGCTTTTGAGTCACTGCACGTATGTTCATTCAGTCACTCCTGCACCAGCACAGCTTCAGTGGTTTTACTTTAGCAATATTCAGGCATGTGTGCTTATGACCCCCGTCCTCCCAGGTGCCACATGTCATGGAAAAGAGAGCAAAGCATATTTCTCCCACTCAGTTTGCTCAAGTGCATTTACCTTAGCTGTGCTATATGTACCTTGCTTTTTAGCTTAAAGGAGAGCCTGCAACAACAGTCACTAAGTCCTTACAGCTTCTGGGCTTCCACCTAATGTTTGTCACTTCAAAATAGCTTCATTTAAATGGTTATAATCCCACCAGATGGAATTGCAGTCTTGGTGGGAAGCTTTCATTTCAGATGGCCCAAAAGCCCCAAAGCCAAAACCAAACTTTTTTTATTCCTGTGTTCTAAGATAGCTATTCCCACCAATGTCAGCTTCTCACTCCCACCTATCCTCAATTACCTCCTGCAGGTGGAGAGCGTCTTAGTTTATTTAGCAGTTAAATGAAAGCTGCTATTTAGGCCAATCTCATCCATTTGTCCTAATGGACAGTTATATACTGTTCTCTCAGAAACTTAGACTAAGCCAGGCTTGGACCACTCCTGTTATATGGGCCTTTTTTCTGCTAGACTGACAGATCCCAGGAGAGGGAGGCTAACTGAAAGCATGGAAATAAATGTCCTACTGTCATCTTGGTCTAGGTCATTAAAAAGGTGGTTCCTCTTCTTGGTACTGGTGATAAATAGTCTTTGGTTTTTCCTGCAACATTAGCACTGGTTAAGTAAGGAGGGCATTAAACATTCTTGGGCTTGAGTGTGCAAGTCTCATGGCCCTGATGTGCTGCAGCTTCTGGATGCTGTTTCTTTGGAGTGCTCTTCAGATGAGCAAGCGCCTGCCAAACTTCCCTTTTCTGGATGCAGGTGACCTACAGTCTGATGGCCTCTTTAAAAAGAGAGTTGAGAAAGGCGTCACAGCAGCACTACCTCAGCAGTCACAGCATCCCTTTACTATGGTACCACAGTGCTGGAATGAAATAAACATAAACATTTATGTCTGACATTTGTTGTTCCTCCTCGAGTAGCTAATTATTATCAAAAGAGGAGCTCACAGAAGACTTACCCTGCTGGGATCATCATGATCTCTTGTGAGTACTCGGCCAACTAGGCACTCTAGAAATCTGTGCAAGACCAGCTGAGAGACTACGATACAGCTTCTTCCCTCAGGATGGATGGCAGAGATAATTTTTTTTTTTTTTTTAAATCAGCCTAATTAGATATGGCTTCAAAATTCTTTAACGCACATTTAAGCGTCATGGTGCAGGCCAGGAAAAATCAGCAGATCAGCTCAAGATATTCAAATTGTTGTTTTTTTTTTTTTTTTCATTTTTTTTTCATGCCAGGGCACTATATGTAGACAGTCAAGGTAAATACCACCATGATCCTGATAAATCTAGCTTATCTTTTAAGCCTTTTACTAGATGCTTTGAGAGAAGAGCTAAGTGACTGGCTGCTGAATGACAGCAGAACATGCTGAGGACAGAGGTAGGGCCAATGGTGGGTAATTCTGAGCCATGTCTGCCTCATGCTGAAGCCAAAACTTTTCCGTGACAGGGTCAGCAGTTAACTATGTGCCTTCCAAACTGTCCATACCATAACCTGAACACATTGGGACATCCTGACAAAAATCAAGTCCAGTTTCTCGTAACAGCCAGCACTCCAGAGAAAGTGCAGGAATTCTTACAGCCAGTTTATAATTCTGCCAGAGCTTTCCATAAGATGGAGCCATATACTAGGAATGCTCTTCTACTGCCTTTCCTTTAACAGCTTTTGATACAAGTGCATGCTGGTAACTCTTCTTCAGGTGGAAGTGAAAATCATAGGATTAAGTCCAGAGCCGTGCAAAAGTAGAGGTCATATCTGCTCTAATGATCTTTAGAGATCTTAACAGTGGAAGTTGCATGCAGAAAAAGACTGCACAGATGTGAAACAATCAGTGAGAAATGACGAAGTGAAACTACTGCCTTAGCGGGTGCCATGAAATTGAAAAAGAATTATTTACACAAAATTTATACCAGTATCATGCCTTCTGCAGTAGAATCATAGCAAAGAACATTAAATAAAGATCGTTAAAGACTTCTGGGTGTGCGACCCACAGGTGTTTGCCAAAAAGATGTAATTTGTACTTCAGCTTCCTTTGAGTATGCAAGCTGAGAATGCTGATGTTTCGCATTCTGTTGTAAGGACCAGGCAGTATAACGAGCTCTTTTAAGACTTATTTTGGCCCATTAATCTGCTCCTTTGTTTTTTTTGTTAGAACCCTGAGTCTTGGCTAGAAGCCCAGGAATACCGCTGTAGCCCAGGTTGTACAATGTGACAGGAAGAATGAGCTAAAAAATTCTGCTGTCGTTTGCACAGGCAGAGGAAGAGCAGACGGCCTGCTTCCCAGCAGTACCCTTCTGCCTGCCTGAAACAGTTTCTGGCAAACTAATTCTCTTCTCTTTCTGACAGGTTTCGGGTGAAGCAACCACCTCCACACACAGGGCTGAGAGTGATGTACACACCAGGACCTGTAGGTTACACAGATGATCTTTTGGGTTTTTTGCTAGACTCAGCTGGCCCTCAAGGCCATCTGAGGGTCCTCTCACACCAGCTGTCTGGGAATAGAGCCAGCAGGGTACATAATTTGTTTAAAGTTATTTGAAGTGCTGCTGCCTTCCGCTGTCCCTCTGCTGCCTTCAATCAAGCACCCCGTGCACTCCAAGTCTCCGAGCCTGCACCAGAATGCAGAGGGGTAAACATGTTAAGTTCAGTGGAAAGCAGCAGGTCAAGCACTGAGGTTAAAGAGAGCTGTTTTGAAGCAAATGGGATATTCTGCCACTACCCATCATTTAGGGTATTTGTTATATCTGCTCTGTCTTACGCCTAGACTTTATCTCCTCTCCTGATACCTTCAAGAGCTAAACCTAGTAAACTCTTGCCTCAACCATTTCTTCTCCTGCTTGCAACTATTCTCCACCTTAAGTCTTTTATCTAGCAAAGCACCACAGCATATGAAATTGTCCCATTAAGTAGGAAGCTCTCATGCTTCCTGCTTTTTTTCAGTCTCTCTCTTCACCTGTGTCTCGTATCTGAACAAATCTTGTGCTGGCCAGTACCCCCACAGTATCCAGGTAATACCAGGCAATATCCTTGCCAATGCTTTTACAGGCATGGAATCAAGAAGCAATGACTTGTGCAAGGAGGCAGTGCCAGAATGCAAGTTAAACCTCCTAGTCCAGAGCCCCAGCCAAAACCCAGCACTTAGAATGGCTGGAATCATTTCCATTCTCTTTTCCTCTCCACACATCTATCCCTTTTTTATTTCCCTTTTCTCCCTACCTCTTTGTTCTTTTTAGACTAGACTAGACCAGACCAGTTGGAAGGGACCTACAACAATCATCTAGTCCAACTGCCTGACCACTTCAGGGCTGACCAAAAGTTAAAGCATGTTATTAATGCACTGACAGGCATGGGGCATTGACCACCACTCTTCTTGATTCTCTCCCAACTGTCCCAATTCCCCTTTTCCCTCTGGAGCCTAAAAGGAAATTTAAGGGAAAAAATGCAAACACCTGGCAGTTTTCTTCTAAACTGCAATGTGAAGAGACACTGTTTTGGACAGACCTTTCTAGTGAAACAGATACTGCAAGCACAATCGTGTGCTGGGCACTAAGTCTTTCATTTCATCAGACAATGCAGAACAGGAACCAGCTGCAAGCACTGCTGGACGGGATTATATATGAAACATGCACCTTACCTTACCTTACCTGTGAGTAATCCTCTGTCTTTCCTAGGTGGCAGCAGGCTTGCAGGTTGAACTGGAGATAGAGATTTTTGCCATGGTAATTGGAGGGGAAGATACTGGTGGCCTTGAAGAAATTTCCCATGATATTGAAATATTAACAGAAACAGAGACTCTTCTCCTGCCTGTGCGAGCAAATATCCTTTGTTGTCTTCCTTCCCACAGACACCTTCTAGCATCAACCCTGGGGACCATCCGCCCGTCAGGAGCCTTAAGCTCATTTCCAGTGGAGGCTGCTGAGGTAGCAAGCTTTACTGTCCTTTTCAGAAACACACAAATGGGTGTTTTCAAAAGCACAACAAATTAACAATTTAAGATTCTGACCCCAAAAGCAATTTACATCAGAGTAACAAGGTTTTGAAAAGTGGGGAAAGGAAGAATGGTAAGCCCAGAAAGATGTGGCTTTTAAAGAATAAATGAAAAGAATAGGAACGCTTTCCCACCACCCCTAATAGAAATAACATTTTTGAATCTATGATAGCATCTGACGGTACAGCCTCATGAGCAACAAAATCATATATCATCCCGGACACTAAACAGACAAATGACACAATCCCTGTGTCAGCAGAGATGCAAGCACAGAAGTGCATGAATGCTGTCAGAAGTTAGCCCAGTGTGGGTTCAATGGGCTTTTCTGTTGTTTAATTGAGGACAGAGGTAGAGTAAAAGAAAATAACCAAGTCAAGAACTATTATTTCCTTTTCCTTGTGCTCCAGAAACTACAATTATTTTTTAGATAAAATTACAGGCTCATTTTTTAAGGGCAAGTTTGGAAGAAAGGATGAAGTTCTGTTTCACTTTTAATCAAATTTACACTTAAAAGCGTGGGAGAAGAGGTCTTCTGGAAACGTATAAAAGAAATAGCAAGGCAAGGTGCATCCAAACACTTTCCAGAAACTCCACTCCTGCTAAGGGCCACCCTTACCAAAGAAAGGAGAACTTCAGGATCCTCTGAGACTGACCAGAGTACTAACTAACAGCAACTCCATTGAGGCATTATATGCTCTGGAACCGACACTGAAGCTCCCCAAATTTACTTCATAGTGATCCAAAGAAGTCTTTCATGCCCATTATTGTGGAGCTGAGCTAGACAGGACTGGTGGCACAGCAGCAAAAACAGTTCCTGCTCTGTTCCCACTCACCCGGCCCTCAGACACACAGTTGCAGACCAGCCTCCAAAACACGTGCCCTTCCCCAATATTTTACCTGATCTTTAATCTTTGAGCTGAGGACAGTAGTCCAGATTCAATTTGTTTCACAGCCTTATTTCCAGAATTCATTCCAGCCTCCACACATATTTTTTTTAGTTATATAAATGTACAGAAACAGTTAGATCCTTAACGTGATATTCCACCTGTGTTAACCAATGACATTTATGAGTGCCGCCCACAAGGATACCCCGAGGGTGGGATGGCAGCAACAGTCCGGGCAGTTCCTACAAGCCCCAAGCCACGGTTCCGGATTACACTACCCCGAAAGCTTTCTAGTTAGTGTAAGTACTGCATGCAGTGATACTGGCTGTAAATTAAATCAGTTGGTTTACCTCCTCTTGGCTTCTGATCTGTATCAAACAACCTCATGCAACTGACAGCAAAGCTGTCATGCACACATCACACACACACACACACGATGACCGGAGACAAGAAAAGGGAAGCACTGGATGACATTAACCAAAGGACTCGCTGCAAGAGATTTACAGGTTATTGCAACTGCTCACGTCAGTGGAGGCGCTCACAGCAGAGCCTCCCCAGTCCTGTCCCAAATCCTCCACTTAACTGTCTCCACATTAAACAAGTCATTGAGCCACCCGGCAGCAGAAGGCTGGATTTATTGCATTTAAGCCCTAATAAATCAGCCTCTCTTTAACACTCTTCACTTTCTAAAACCAAGTCTTACTGCTGACCCTTTGACACTGACAGCAAGTCTAATAAGGGACAGGAGTCTTACAGATAGACAGGGCAACCTTAACATAAGTTCAAGCACACACAACCCTCTGCACACATTGTTTCATATAGCACATTTCTGTAACCTTAAAGAATCAGACTCTACACAGAGAATGGGTAAGTCTTCGCTGCCAACAAGAAAGCCTTATTGGGAATTTCTCCTCAAACCACCAGCCAACGTGTTTAACATTAGGCTGGTGTTTTATCTCACCCACATCGACTCAGGTGCTCTACAATACAATCGATGATGACAGTTCATAAACAGGAACCCTATGGATGTTTCTTCTCTCCTCAGCTCAAAAGTCCCCATTTGCCTCATATGTGTAACACTGACATAATCTTTTTCTTTCAACTTTAACATCTGTAAATCTGCCACGTTATCTAATAAGTCAGTAAAGAAATTCCAGCTGTATCTCATTTCCTCTCCTCTGGAGAAAAAGAAAAGCGACCACATCAGTCAGTTCTCAAAAGAAATGTAGCAGAGAGACATGCACCTCTGACTGCTGCATCTGCTCCAGGACTGCCCAGAGTACTTCAAACATAGCTTTTTTTCCTGTTTAAATATCTTCTTACCTTTTCCAGTGTAGAATTTTACCCCCAGAGTAACAGACAATTATAGTCTAGAAGAACAGAGAATTTAATGCCTTCCAGCTTCGGGGCTTACAACCTGGAGCTCATCAGTGAAGGCAATTTAGACAAACTTCTCTCACTTTGTGTTGAACTGGAAAAGAAGTACTCACACAGTCGGTTCACATTTCAGTGAGACACCCCGCTGTCCCAACTCGGTCCACTACAGCCCTGCACTAAGATACTGTTGGATCATTTCTGTACACTGGGTATACGCCAGTCGATTTTTTTCCTGCCAAGTCTTAAGTCCTGGAAATGCTGATCAGTGTCATCTCCCACTAAAAGCTCCAGGTGGAGAGAAATTAACTACATGGTATTCTCCTCCCACATGGCTAATCCAGCTAATGATGGAGACTGCTTTCCTAGTTGCCATCACCATAGTAAAATTTCCCTTCTGTTCTGACAAAGTCTTTTTGTGACTTGATTGATAATTCCTACTGAAGCTGGCTACAGCCACCCCATGCTACCCAAGCAACTGTACCAAATGCTTCTTTGAACATTCCTCCCCACAAAATCTCCTGGACTCAAAACCGTGTCCATCTCATACATGTCAAGAAACTCTGGACTGGTTGGTTTAGTCTCACAAAACATGAAACACTGACACTCCTAAGTTAAGTCCTGTATTTGGTTAAATAGTCCTGTTCAGCCATCCAGAATAGAAATAGTTGAGTCTTTGCAGGGGCACATGACAACTTTTAAAGTTTGTATCACCTTTCCAAGGTGATTATCACCAGAGCCAGTGATTCTCTCCATTGATACCTAGAAACTTCCCTGCAATATTAGGATTGATCACAAATTTGCCACACCTCCTAGCAGAGACCAACAAGCAAAAAATCATTGATGAAGCATCACCTGACTGAACTTAGTCATATCTCATTTATATTTTCTTAGTTATTTCTCATTTATATTTAAAACATTTCACAAAGATTCTCTTAACATACTCAAAATTAAATACTGCATAGAAAGCTGCCCATGAAAGCCTTCAGTATTCCTAAGTAGACTCACCCTCCTGAACTCATGGTCATTTTTATTCCACTCAATTTGTGAAATAAAACAAACTCTTTATCTAGTTGAAGCCCGTGTGAGAACCCTTCCTCATGTTGTTCCCTTCCAACAGCAAGAGTAGGGGCCAGTTCTACTGAAGCCAGTCCGTAGCAATCACAGTGCTCACACAACACTTGCAAAGAATCTGGACAGAATTACTGGGTTTGCTTCAACAACTGTACAAAGGTAGAGTTGGGGTTTGGTTTTTTTTCCTTTCCTCTTATGTTAATTTTCCCTCCTCTTTCACTGCAGGTCAGAGCCCTAGAAGAATAACATGAAGATCAGCAATACTGAAATACCCGCATTTTAGTCCAATGTTATGGAAACATCCCAGTGTAGACTTCTTCATTTATTTAATCAGATTAACGTGAATAAATATTTTGTCTGTCCCCTATTAATGGAAAAGGTGGTCCAAAAGTTGCACAGACTTCTGACATGGCTGTCTGAAATGCAAACAGTGGAAAGATTACTGTATTTCAACCCCAGTGTTTGATACTTCGCACTTCAGAAGTGCACTGAATGGTTCCTGATACGTTTATTCTGTTTTTAAAAGGGGTTAGGTTTCTATAACCCGAGCTGAGGCACCTGAAATCTTTCTTAAGTACTGAGCATGCAGCAGGTTTCACTGAAGTCAACTGTGATTCTTCAAGAAAGAGCTGCTGATCTGCTCTGGTCTTCCAGTTCCTAAGTTCCTGCTTGCTTTCACAATCATAGGTTTAACTATCTGTGTGTTCACCTACCTTTAATTAGCTGCAGACATCAGATGGGGATTATGAGTACACACAGTTATACTTGACAGAGCGGGATTGACAGAGGGGGATTCTGCTTATATCCTCTTGTTCACTATCAGACATGATCATCTTCAAATGCTCATCTGCACATCTCTCTTCATAGTGGAAGACTGAGCCACTTAGAGATGGCCTTTTTCCCTGCTTTGTTCCTACCTACACAGTAGTGACTAAAAGAAATATCTCAGTCTCTTTGTAAGACACCATATTTGTATATCCAAGTGCAGTTCTGCTTTCTTTTTATGAATACATTTCCAATGAGGTGCTTTCCCATGCTTTGCTTTCCTGTGCTTCATCATTTTTCCAGTATGTGACATCCTGAGAGATGTGGAATTTCCTTGATGCATGCAGATGACTTGTTCTCTCAACACTTTACAGTGACTGAGAATCCCATGATTGGGGATTAAATAATAGCTTTCATAGTGTGAAATATGAATGTCAGTTTTGGACTCTCCATCCACGCTGTTAAGTGAGGCACATATTCTAACGATACACATTTTAAGTTGGCCCTGTATTTGCAAGTGCTTTCCTGCTCAGGTTTGTCAGTCCAGGGAATTTCACCTAAGAAAGGGTAAGTTGAGGTACCCAAGGATATCAGAATTCTGGTGTATCAGTGGATTGTTGGCACAGGACAGACCTCTTCCACTTAAAGCATATGCTGAGCTCCCTCAGTAGCCGTTTGAGTACTGCATTGGTGTTTTCCACTGCCCCACCAGACATGACTAGTTGTCCATCAGCTCAGATTTGACCTATTAACCAAGGCTGAAGCCAGCTAAGGAAGGTGCCGAAACAGATACCCAGCTGTGGACGTAGTTTTAAGCCCTACCCACAGGTGAGAAAACCACAAGCAGCAGTGCCAAACTTGATCCAGCATTCTCCAACACCAATGATTTTGCTACTGACTGTGCTGATTTCTGCCTTGATGCTTTTCAGTTTTCTGTAGACACGGCCAAGAGTCCCACATCAGCCCCCCTGGTAGTGCATTCTGAGCACTGAAGCAAGCCACTATTGCTGGTACAGACTCGTCACAAGTGGTACAGATCAGAGAACTAGAGGGAAAGTTCAATGGGGAAGCCTGTGTCAGCACCTATGGAGAGAGGACAACCACTTTCCACCACCTCAAAGACTTCCTCTTCCAAGGATTCTTCCCAAATCCCAGTGACAGCAAAGAGACAAAGGTGAAGGAATGAACATGAACATGAGCCGGCAGTGTGCCCAGGTGGCCAAGAAGGCCAACGGCATCCTGGCCTGTATCAGAAATAGTGTGGCCAGCAGGACTCGGCAAGTGATCGTGCCCCTGTACTCGGCACTGGTGAGGCCGCACCTCGAATACTGTGTTCAGTTTTGGGCCCCTCACTACAAGAAGGACATTGAGGTGCTGGAGCGTGTCCAGAGAAGGGCAACGAAGCTGGTGAAGGGCCTGGAGAACAAGTCTTATGAGGAGCGGCTGAGGGAACTGGGACTGTTTAGCCTGGAGAAGAGGAGGCTGAGGGGAGACCTCGTCGTGCTCTACAACTACCTGAAAGGAGGTTGTAGCGAGGTGGGTGTCCGTCTCTTCTCCCAAGTAACAAGCGATAGGACGAGAGGAAATGGCCTC